ATCCCGTCTGGTCACAGAAAAAGCAGGACGCGCACTTGTTTGAGAGAGAATCCAGTACAATCGTTGGATAAAACAGAGACTACAAGCTCATATCTCCCAGAGGCTCATGGATTTCTTCAACAGAATTACCAATGAAGAAAACTGGGGAAGGATCCAAAATGACCTGGATAAATCCTTCAGACATGAATTCAATGTAGTCAAGGCTCGCCAAGTACAAAAATTAAACAGATTGAAAGATCAGAATGTGATGCACAAGCAAGATCCATCACCCACCAGTAAAAGCAGAAATCAATATCAGCCAATTTCAGCTGAGTGCCCCTGAGGAGTCAGTATTGAATAAGTGTCTCAACTTCACCACAACCATCAGGGGAGTGCCATACCTGGACATCATTGCCAGAGTCGAGGAGGTGGCCTTGAACATCCCTCAGGCTCAGGCGGATGAACTGAGATGGAAGGTGAAACAGACCTTAGAGAAGGCCAAGCTGCCCAGGTCAAACATCACGAAACTGGAGAGGCTGGCAATCAGATCCCTACAGAGGAACGAAAACATCATCATGCTACCAGTTGACAAAGGCAATGCAACTGTAGTGATGGACAGATCAGATTATACAAGAAAGCTGGAAGACCTCACTAGCAATGGTAGCTACAACAAAGTAAAAAAAAGGATCCTACAATGAAAACGGAACTGTCACAGATGGTAATCAAGAACAAGGATCACTTCGCACATAAGACGTATAGGCAGTTATCACAGCATTACACCAAGCTACCTCACATATACAGTTACACTAAGATTCACAAAGATGGTATTCTGCTCAGGCCAATTGTTAGCTGCCAAGGGTCTGTGTGCCACCCTCTGAGTCACTTTAATGTAGATATAATTGACCCATTATTCAGAAAGTCTCCTTCATATGTCTGAAACTCAGCCCACTTCATGGAAATAATCAAAGATGCTCCCATCCTATCCAACCAGATGGTGAGCTTGCATGTGGTGAGTTTGTTCACAAAGGTACCCATGGAGGAGGCACTCTCAGTAGTCAGAGACAGGTTGTCTTCTGTCTCATCCCTAGAAGAACAGACCAGTATTTCAATAGATAATCTGATGGAGATGTTGAATTTCTGTACACAAACAACAGACTTTGGAATGGGATCACACATATATCAACAGGATGATGGTTTAGCAATGGGCTCACCATTATCACCAGCAATGGCGAATATATACATGGAATACTTTGAGGAAATGGCATTAGAATCTATATCTCTAAAGCCAACTCTATGGTTAAGGTACATAGTTGACACCTTCATACTCTGGCCACACCAGGAAGATGTTCAGGTTCTCCTAGACCATGTGAACTCAATAAGACCTTCGATACAGTTCACAATGGAGAAAGAGAGTAACAACACACTCCCATTCCTGGATGTTCTAATATCTCGAACAGAGCATGGGTTTAAGACATCTGTATACCGTAAACCTACATTCACTGGACAATACCTCAATTTCAACTCCCACCATCCATACAACATAAAGAAAGGGATCGTCCGCTGCTTACAACACCGAGAAAAAGTCATAAGTGTCGACCCAGAGACATTAGCTAAACAATTGGTCAGTATAAGTAGTACCCTACAACGTAACAACTACCCTGGGTACATGGCAGCATCCACAAAAAACTGGTACAAGAGGTGGACAACAACACTCAGAAAACAGTCTGTCTGCCTTATGTGAAGGGGTTATCAGAGAAAATACAAAGGATCTGCAGTTCATATAACATCAGGACAACCTTCAAAAGCTGGACAACACTTTGCAAATATCTCTGCCGAGTAAGACCCCCATAAAGGAGGACATGACTAAAGACTGTGTGTACGCTATCCCGTGCAGCTGCAGAAAGAAATATAAAGGGGAGACAGGCCGCACTCTTAAGGTAAGGCTTCAAGAACACCAGAAAGCTGTAACACAAGGAAAAATGGAAAAATCAGGCATAGCTGACCACATATGGAGAGAAAAGGGAGATTACTGCCCTCTGTGGGATCAAGTTGAGATCATAGACAAAGAACACCATTGGAAAATTTGTAAACTTAAAGAATCAGCACATATTCTTGGCCACAAAAATCTCTTGAGCCGACAAAGCATAGAAATGAATACAATATGGGAACCAGTAATAAAGAGAGCCAGAGAAAATTGATAATAACAACAAAAATTGCAATATGAACTCTAGTAAAAACATGCAATGACAACAGTAAAAATTGCAATATGAGAACTGGTAAAAAATGATTGCTGAGACATTAGGTTTATAATACCCATAAATTCATACACAGATGTCCTCAAGGACACATGGCACAGTGAATAAAGGCGTTGGTTAGATCCAGTGACAGGACCTAAAGAGTGTGAGTTCCATACCCGGTTAAGGCAGTAGAGAACTTGGAGAGGGGAATTAACTGGAGATAACTGATAACTGACATCCATTAAACATGGCATGTGGAATTAGAACAATCTACCACAGTGAGCGAAATAAAGGGTTCAATTCGACATACAACAGCCAAAACGTTGTAATAAATATGGCGACAAAGATGAGGACAATAGTTCGAATAATGTAAATAGTGTGATGAAATTTGTTAGTCTTAGGCTTAATGTTCTTTCTTTCTTAATTAAGACTAGACAGATATAATTGATATGATATCCTCCAGCATGAACAGCAGAATTTGAACATGCTATCCCTGTAGATTGAATAAAGGGCTCAACTTAAAATTCCTGGAAGGCTACCAACCACAACAAACACCTGAAGAAGACTGAAGAAAAAGATGGAAAAGAATTTGTGAACCAATGTGAAATTTTCTTTGGACCAATGAAAACCTTGCCTTCACAGAAATTAACTGTTGAGCCAAGAAAAAGAAGGTGGCTAGCTTATGCAAAGTTCCTTTTGATATAAGATGAGGAGAAAAATTAAATTAACAAGAAAAGAGTGTCTGAAGTCATGTGAAAAGTTTTTTTTATGTCAGATCATTTAATCTGTTGTATGAACATTTCCTCTTTATGACAATTCATTAAAACTACAGATTTTTAAAATTTCTGATTTATTTTCCTGAAACAAGCTATTGACACAACTTCAAGCATATAAATTCATAAATAAATACCTTATCTCGTTTTGTTAAAATTACCTGTGTGTTTCCTTGTCATTATCAATCTCCATTAATCTTCTTGGCATGGGTAAATCAACTGTTTATTTTAACCCCTAAGCCTCATACCACTATAAGAATATGAGATAAAGAAAATTATTAAGGAGAGAGAGACCAATAAAAGAACAGGAATTAAGAAGACAGAAGATAACAATTGATATTGCATTTAAATTTCTTGAAGTTGACAAGAAAGCAAGAAGCTGGAAGAGAGTTCTGTAAGTGAGAAGTGCTAGAAAAGAAACTGTTAGCATAGAACTTACAGTTACATCTAGCCATTTCAACTGGAAGATGATGAGACATTGCTACTAATCTAGTAGTATGCTTGAATTCATAAAGTCTAGGTACAAAAGGGAACAGTTACCAAGAATATATTTATAGAAAAGCCACAGGGAAGATACATTCTGGTGGTGAGAAAGTGACTGAAGCCAAGATGTTAGGTGAGGACTAATAACATTGCAGATTATTTTTTGTATTGGCTCTACTGTCTGAATAAACTAAGCAATAGCTATTTACTTTATTTAATAAGTAAAGTACCTGTGAATGTGTAGGAAAATGGACATTGGGGAGGCAAAATTGCTCAACATTTTGTAGCAAAGTAATTATAGTGCTTACTTGGAGTCATGTTTGACAAAATATCTGACAGCATAGAAATGTCTCTCTACATTCAGCTGCAAATATTCTTTGTGCTTGGTTATTTTAATGCCCATAACATCAAGTTGCTTTATTATTCTAATACTAATAATGTTGCTGATAATCAATTTTTTTATTTTTCTGTTGTTCAATATCTTTATCAAATAGTTGATTTCCCTACATGTTTCCCTTATAACTCTGACCAACATGCCTCCTTGCTCAATTTGTTCTTTTATGCTAATAGTTTCTTTTCTTGCACATCTAGCTTATGGAAATCTATCCAGCTTCCTGTCAACTACAGTCTTTAAATATTTAAATGCAATGTTAATCATCAATATCTGTCTCCTTGAATCCTATTCTTTTATTGTCCTCTCTAATTTCTTTCATTCTCATTAACATCTTGCATCCTAGTGGCTTTCATTGCTTTGTTTGGGGTGAAATAAGTAAAAAAATTGAATAATGAAATTAAGGTGCATATATAGAAATAGATAAAGTATAAAAATAGAAATTATTTATTAGCATTAATTTTATCTAGCTCTATTTTTTATATTGAAATTTTTTGTGCAAAAGTCACATTGATAACTTACTACAAAAGGTATAAATTATAAACAAGAAACTTTCCATAAAACAAAGTATATTGTAGAAAGAAAATACAATGTCATCTTCTATTTGCTAATTTTTAAAAATTAATTTTTGACAAAATAACGGGAAAACGTTTTTAATTCAGTTTGAAAAAGATCAGTCAAGGATCAGGGTGAATGAAGTCAAAGATGTCATCTGACCTATTGTAACTCTTCTTTCCACTTGTTTTAGGAGGAATCCTTGTTAAATGATAATTGTTAACGTGACAATTTGGATTGTGATATTGTGTAAAAAATGAGTTTTTGCTCACATTAATTGGGAAAATTCGTTAATGACAATTAAATGTCATAGCTCAAATGGTTATTTTAATATTGTTTACTACTTTAATAATGCTTGGATAAAAATAAATTCTTTTTTTTATCTTATAGCGCTATGTAAAATGTTTTATTGAAAAAAATCTATATACAAAATGTCAGCTAGAATTTTTATTTTATTATTGTCTGGGTATTACTGTTAGTATTTGTTAAACAAGTGTTTCTATGAAGAGAAGGCAGTCTCATGAGCGGAAGTTAGTTTAATTTCACCGGAAGTGACATTTTAGCTCTAATTTGGAGAGAAAGATGGCGGACGTATCTCTTGATGAATATATCAAGACTGACTTTCGTTCTAAAGAAAGGTAAGCTTCCAATTTTTTTAAGTATTTTTGTTGATTATTAATTATAGCAATAAGTCATAGTATGTTGAACTATGTAAATTTAAATACATTGTTTGATACTCCATTACTTAGGATGAATAAGAAATTCATTATTTATTTTTTTTTAATACATCAGTTACTTTCATCTCGCGCTACTGTTTTGTTGTAATTTTCAGTCATATTAAGTTAATATCCCTTTCATTTTTTTTTTTGCTTTGCTTTATTGATGTTAATTCCATTTGTGATTCTTGAATAATGACAGTCTTTATGGCACATATTCAAAATATTTTTTAATTCTTTTCATTTGTTTTCTTTTAAATAAAAGCTGGCTTCCGGTTAATTTTTAATAATAATAATTCAATTCTCACTTATTTATCTTTTAGACCATGACTAAAACATATTGTGTTGGGTTGATTTTAATTAATAACTTTATGTTTCAAAGTGAAAGTAGCTATACAAAACCAACATTTATTTCAAACCGTCCTTTTAATCGATAGTGAAACTAAGTCCTGAAGCTAATCGATTTTTAAAAAAATAATTTAGTTGTTTTTTCTTCTATTGGCTTTTTATCTCAGTATCGCTCGTTTTCTTCAATTTAGGATTTTAAACAGTTTTATTTGACATAAATTGTTCTTAGAGTAGTAATTATTTTTCATTTTGTTAAACTGAAGTTTACATACATACATTCATTCAACATATTGTGTACTTACTCTGTGAAGGAGATGCGTATTATGATAATGTTTTGTAACTGTCATTTTTTTTTTATCCTTTAACTCTATTTAATTTTGAGTTCTTGATTTTTACACAATTATTACCAATGTGAATGTTATATATGCGATATATTTTAATTTTTTAAAGTTTAAACATTTCCTGGCATTATTTTAAATTACATCAGGTGCTTTCTTGCTAATAATTGCAATCACAGAAAAATTAAATAACAGTGATGTTTTGCTGTCTACTACATTAGTATTTTCATTTTTTTTTTCTAATTTAAGAGATTTCTCGCACTTAACAGCAATTGCTTTTCCTTTCGCTTCTTTTTTTTTTTTTTTTTTTCTCGTTTATTTTATGAGTTGTGTCCCTTCGATTATCAGTCGCACTTATTCAGTATGAGGAAAAACATATTGCTACCTTCAGGAAGGAGAGAAAATGTTCAGGAATGATACGCTTATTTATTCTTCTGTTTAATTTTTTTTATCATTAGTTTTCACCGATTAAAAATGCCATTGGTTATTTTTCTCTGTGAGTCTTTTATTTTTAAAAGTCTATCAGTAAATGGTGATTTTTTTTTATTTTTTTTTTATTTTATTTTTTAAAGTCATTCATTTTTTTTTTTTTTTTTTTTTAACTATTATCAGAACATAGTTTTCAACATGTCTCATCTAATGTATTCTTCAGTATCTTTTCTAAAATATATATAGTGAGATTTGCTATTCAATCCAGTAACTTTGCAATGTTCTGCTTGTGGCAGCAAATAAGAAATTAAAGACCAAACTATTAAAGATACAGCATAGACCTGTGGAAAAGAAAATGAATATATTGTCCAAAAGAATTGTGATAAAACCAACAAAATTAAATGTTCAAAAAATAGAGTAATGAAGATATTTAATCTTGGAACATCAGAAAATGGTTAACATGTCATTATGATATACATTCATGATAACTAAGCAAAGGAAATTTTGGTAACTAACTTGAACATATTTAATGTTGAATGAGTAGTTGATAATGTAAGTTTTCATACTTTAATTCAAACTCTTATTCTCTCATCTTGATTGTTATAGATTTTATTATAGGTTTGGTTGATAAGAGAGATCTGATTTTTTTTTTGTCCTTGTGATGCCAGTTCTTGTTCATTCCTGTTGAACCAGTGAATATTATTTCACTAGATGACAGCAATACATTTTTACCAATTCCTTTATCCACTATGCCACCATCCCCAAAGAACATCAGTGGTCTATTTTTGGAGCTCTTATATTCAATGAAGCCATTTGACTTTGGATATGAAAGTCTTCAAAATAATAGTTGGTTTCGATTTCTTATTTACCACCACAAACAGAATATTGCAAAGTCATTGAATTGAATATCAGAGTAACACATATCTTAGAATGTGCCACTCTCAGGTTAGAGAAAACAGGAGCCAGTTCAGGAAAACATTTCTTAAGGACTATAGCATCAAGTCCACATGCTCTGTGGGGATCCACTTTAGAGATGATAGCAGTAACCAAAGATAGTTATATGCATATTGTACAGTTCTAAGTGGAAAACCAGGCAAAGATACTACAGATGAGTCAAGATTAGAATTGGAAGAGAATTTACAAGCAAAACCTTCTGCTTTATCAGCAAAAGATAACACCTTGAATTGAATGAAGAGAAGAGGAATAGACAACTTACTCTTATTTTAATTACTGTTATTTTTAATTATTTTAATTAATGGCTCTGTAATAGAGCCACCAGTAGTGCTTTTACCCAAGGAAAAACCTCAGTGGCACAATTCTCAATAGGAAATTTAAAAATATCACTCCAATGCACAATTAAAAAGAACTAATCAAAAAATCAGCTGAGTTTCATGAAAATAGAGTCAATTAAGTGCTTCATGATAAACAAGGATAACCAGTTTGGGTTTCTTTATCATTTCCTGTAATATATTTTCCATTCATGAAGATGTTGGATTTAAAAGGCTTGCCTGGTCCATGAATCTTTTCATTGTTACTAAAGAGGCATTGGTCTGTTCAAAACTTTTTCTTTTTTTGTTGATGCCTCAGGTCTTAATTAGAAGATCAAAATCAGAGCATATTTTTCTTGGATTTTCCAAAGATCAATCCCTTGGTACCTTTGATTTTGACTGTGGGTTTTTTGTTATGCAATAACAGTAAACTTTAATGGTGATGTTTTAATTTCAACTAGATTAAAAACTTAAGTTTTAATAATATTAAATTGAAGTTTTATTACATTATATTGATTGCTCACTCTAGAAGAATCCCAATGCACTTTCAAGTTTTACATTGACAGTCAACTGTGGCCATAAGCTAGTTTAATACAATTTTTTCCTTAAAAAAATAAACTTTCTAAACTTATTTGAGTTTGATGAAAAATTTTTGCCCATTTTCAGGAAAAGTTTCTTTTGAATATAACTTGATTAGAACCTGATTGAACTTTTAATTAATTTTTATTATTAATAATCTTTGATTTCCAAATATAGTTTAAGTTTTTCCATGCTTTCTTGTTTTCATTTGCTCTATATCCTTTTGGGGATTTCACTTAAAACGTAAAAGAAAATCATGCATCAATCTTACTGGCAAGATGACTGGATTTTTGTCAGTATTCTCTGGTGTTGAGGTTTGTAAAGGTACCACATCTATGTATATGTATAACTAAATAAATAGCATAAAAGGCTCTCTTAATTGATTCTGATCTAGAATATATATGGTTTTATAGGTTGAAGTCTTATAACTTTTCCAAGAAAATTTTGGAAACCCAGTTCATCTAATAAATATACCTGAAATTGGTTACTATTGAAATTTATTTATAATTAACCAACTTGTTTGGTTTAAATTGGCTTCTGGGATAAGTAGTAACTTTGTATTTTTACCCTTACAATAGAGAAGAAAGAACTGATATAAAAGTGCTATTTTAGGTACCTCCATGAGATCGCTAAAAAAGAGCATAGCATGATGAAAAAGACGCCTAAACTTGACGTAAAAAACAAAATTTTATCGTCTAAATGTTGTTGTTATTATTAAGAGGAAAGGTCAAAGTATTTTTGAGTTATTTTTTTTCCATTTTTTAATCGTTTCTAGCACGTCCAAAATTTTCGTTAAAAATCTAGTTTTTTTTGAGTCAGCAAAATTGACCATTTTTTTCCATTTTAAAAAAAACTGGAAATCTGACTTTGAAATTTTTTTAAATATCAATTATTTTTTCAAAACTTATTTTAAGAAAATCAGAAATTATAATGTTTATTTAAAATATTTTGAACCAAACTTAACTTAGCTTTTGTGCCAAAAGATGTAATTTGAAAAATAAAACAAAGCAGGTCATAAACTTTCGCGTCTCTTGACATGTGATGAATGATATATTTACAATTCCATGAGGCTAATTTGTTCTACGGAAGGAGAAAAGTGAAATAATTTACATTTACGTGAACAAATTATTTACCCCGTTATTTTTTAACTAAAACTTTCAGTGGTCTAATTTTTTTTTTTTTTTTTTGTACTTAGCTTTCACCTTTATGTTTATGATGCTTTATGGGAAATATATTTTAAAGAAATTAAAATAAAACTGTTAAGAGTGACATTAAATTTCATATTTCTTAAGAAAGTTATCTAATTAATTTATAGGTACCTTTCTTATGAAATTTTATCAGAATTGTACATAAAATACTATAATTTTATGTACATTTATTACATTCTACTGTTATTTGTATTTGCATTCATTTTATTATTAATTTTGATATTTCATTTATGGAAAAATGTCGTAACTGAGATTAATATAAAATAAGATCATATAAATTTCATAAGATGATACTGATACTTGTAGGTACCCTTCTCAGTTGAAATTGAAAAATCAAATTAACTTCTCCACGTGTTTTTAAAAAGTAAAAGGCCTTAACAGCGGAGAACAATGCTTAACTCAAATAACATAACTTAATTATATTCTGGTTGGTCTTCCATATTTTATAATTACAGCTCGATTATAAGCACAAAATTACATTTCTTAATTACTGGGGATCTTCTGATTAGTCAAAATGATACAATTTACAACGCGCTAAAAAAAAGATCTATCTCATAAGGACACTTATGAAAGCCGATGTGGCTTTTTAACTAATTTTATAATATTTTAACAACTTAAATGTAAAATCTATTATAATTAATGAAATAACAAATAATTGTATTAAAATTCATTTTCATCGAAAAAATTTTTTGCTTTCAGAAAATATTGTCCATATTCATAAAAACAACTAAAAGCAAATAAAAGCATTTGAAATTAAATAATATCTTTGTTTTATTGAGTTTTTGTATGTTACAATTCAGAGCTGATTTTCAGGTACTGCGTATCCAATTAAAAAAAAAAAAACATGATTTGCATTCCTCAAAGCCCTGTGCTTTTAATTATTGTAATCACTAAAACCGATCGATCGAATTTCTAGCGTTTTCATAAAATTAGTTATGGGGGTAATAAATATTTTTAAAAAATATTTCTACCATGACTTTCATAAAAAAAACATATATAATTTCGATCATCTGTGAATAGTTCCTGAAAGTTTCATTAACATCCGATAATTATTTCTATTTTTGCACGATTTTTCAAATTTTTAATCAAAATTTAGAATGTTCTAAAAAGAAGAAAAATTTTTTAAAAATAATTAAAAAAAAAAACTTAATCAGATATTAACATTTTGTTCAAACTGACCTCAATCTGTCAAGATAAAAAAAATATTCACTTTCCTGATGTATTTTGTATGACTGTCAGTTCATTTTTAGTATGCACATCCGAATTTTGTATTTTTAAAAATCTCTTTCAGACGCGGGAGCATTCATCAGAATAAACATCCTCAGTTGGCTTCTGCTAACAAACCTGCAAACCAAAGAAGTCGACCTTTAATTATGAAAAACCCAGCTCGTCGTTCTGATCAGAAATTGCCAGTGAAGCAGCGTATTAATATTGATAATCGTTCTGTTCCCAACCGCAGCCAACAAAGCTATTTACCAAAATGGAATAAAATCCTCTCTCGAAAGTTGGAGCTCAATCAGTTTGATGCTCGACTAAAGTTATCCACAAAATCATTTAAAGATGCCCGAGAGAAGATTGGCAGTAATGTTATTGATGCTAGGCACAAGATCCAAAAGTCACAAGCAAAGAAGTTTGAACAAGATGCTCGAAAGAAAATTAGCTTAAAGCGAGGTTTAAACAACAATGGTAACCAACCTAAGATAACTGTGACCGGTCTGGGAAAGCAACATTCTTTTCGAGAATCCACTTCTGGGTTGACCACAGCCTCAGGATCCAACATTATCCGTACAGTAAGTAATATAAATTTCAATCTTTTACTGGAAATTGAACTCATTCAGAATGATTTGTGAGATAAAAGCAGTTACTAATTATTGTAGGTATGAATGGGTAGTTTTTCATTTTATTCCTGTATTCTTTCTTTGTAGATTTGTTTTACTTAAGATCTATATGTAAAGAAAAAAATAATGCTCTGTGCTAGATAATTCCGCTAGGTAGTCTCCTCCCCTTCCTATTTATATGATGTAAGTTGACTGAAGTCATAAATGGGCTCATAGTTTCTATCTTGTAATAAATTGAGTGTACAAAACAAGTACATTAGAAAGATAGTTTATTTGTAAAGATATCAATTGCTACCAATTAATGCAATTTAAAATTTTCTTTTAAAATTATATACATCCTATTTTTATTCTTAAGAGAAATATGTTGATTAGCTGTATTGGTAATCATGTATTGATTGTTGTGATGAGTTTTGATATATCAAAAATTAACTTAATCATAAAATTTAAATTTGCTGCTAGAATTTACAATTCTTCAATATAACAAGAAGTGCTTATTTTACAAGTGGGGAATGTTAAAAATCAAAAAAATTTAGGTCAAAGGCTTAAAAGTTGCCAAATGACTCAAAATAAAGACTGCCATATAAAAAAAAAAAAGCTATTCAACCCAAAGATGGGCAGGAGAAGAGATGGATTCATATCTTTCTCAGCATTATTTGTGCATGAGTAAATGTAATGGACCCAATTGAAATTTGAACTCAGATCTCCAATTTCTCATTCTGAGCTGATATCCACTACACTACAACAGCCAAGTCAAATTCAAGAAGGAATAATTTATCATCCAGACATTTTCAGTTAGATTATGTTTGGGATTGGAGTTTGAGACGACAGGTGACTAATAATATTTTGAAGTGAATTTGATTTTGCAATTGAGTGTATGATTTTGTTTTGCTTGCAGTTTTTCAAAAATGATGATCAAATAAAAGTTACATATGCAATGTCTATCCTTTGACATTTAGCTCCATTAAAAGAAACATCAGTAGCATGCTTCAGGAGCACCAATACTTATGTAAAGAGTTTCTACTGATAAGAAGAAAGAAATGTACTGGAAAATCATTATACATAATTTGTGAGTGAAAAATCATCATTATTTAATCAACTGTGGAATATCATGTTTTTGAATTTTTGAATTTCCTGGATTAGAAATGGTATCATTTTCCTGCTGTCTGTTGATACAAGAAAGTAAGTGAAAAAGTCTTATTGAGTTACATATACTAGTTATATTTAACATCACTCAAGTTTTTTGATGGTTTTAAATTAAGATTGATTCTTTATTTCATGTTAGCTATCCTTCCAAGAGACTCATGGTTATTGAATTGGAAGTGTGGGACATTACCATTTCTCTTGTTGCTTTCTAACAACCATGTACATTTTCTACCATGAAATCTATGATATATAGGATATACTAAATAAATGAATAAATTATGCATTTTTAGACCTTAATTCTTTTGTAAAAGTTAAAATTAAATTTCCTTTACATTGATATACGGGGTGACTGAAAATTAATGCCTTATTTTATGTATGATAGACACTCTTGTCTTGTAAAAATTATAGTTAGATGGGAGAGTCCATCATACATAAATTAGGGTTACTTTTCAATGACTGTATAATATAAACACTTTGGAATTTTTCTTTTACTAGGACCCCATCTGTAGGGGGTTTGGGTCAAAATCAGGGACTGTATATGGGTAGCAACCCCCTTTTTAAGGGCTTTTCTTTTAGGTTTGGCCTTTTTTTTTAGTCTATGACTCAAAACGTTTTTTATAACATACCATACAAATATTACAAATTTAAGTTGTCTGTGTGAGTCTTGTGAATTTTCTCAAACATGAATTTTATTCATAAAAACGCACACACACACACAATTGAGCCTTCATCGCAATAGATATGGAGGAGTAGATGCAATAGGCAACAATAGACTACAGAACTCAAAATTGATCAGTGCATTTAAGTATTCCATTAATATTTAAGCTTACCTTTTAAATATTCAATGAAAGGGAACTGAGAGTTGTATCCCTTTAATTGAAAAAGTGTGACACACTGACAGCGGCATTTATTATATAAAATAAAAAAAAAATGAAATAAGAAATGTAATAATGACTGCAAGTTTCATCCTTAAGTAATTATCTGGTCTCCTTTTTTAAAATCTCCTGATGAGTGGGCTGAACAATTACAAGTGATTTGTCTACAAAATTCCTGGGTTGAGGTGCTGAATCAGCTAAGTGACAAATTTTATATTTATATTAATCATATATATATATATATATATAATCTCAATCTACTTTCCAAAATCTTCACAAATAACCACATATCAGAATTTATTTTTGTTGGGCCAAGGATTTTTAAGTATTCCCTTGTATATTCTGAATCGCCATAATCATTATCTAGGGGAAATTTTTATACTATTTATTTGGATTCCTCACAATTTGAATTGGAATTTTTGAAGACAAGCTTATCAATGTAATTTTTCATGTGGATCATAGTATCATATTTGTATGTTTACCATGTATTGCTTGATTTTTGATTTTCCAGATCTTATGAGAACACTATTACAGTTTCTTCGCTTGTAAAATAACATTTATACTTTTTACTAGATTATAGGTCACATTATTAGATTTTTATTTTTCTGTGAAGCAAGTTTATCTGAACTGCTTGTAAATTATGAGGTTTAGAACTGAAATATGTTCATTTCTTTTTCTTTTAATTATCAAGTCCAGTTTCTCATTCTTCCAACACTATGGTATTCTTGATAAATATTCACAAAATTGAATATTTCTTTTTGTTTCTTTGGAAGAATCTGACATTAAGAGGTATCTAAGATCCATTTTTTTTTTTTTTTTTTTTTTTAATAGCAATATTTCCATGAATACTCTGGTATCACCTAATTAGCTAGACAATGTATGAAACTATTTTTTTACTCTCTGAATGCCATTGACTCTCATTATGTTTACATAATTTTTCTAGTGCATTTAGTTAATTGTTGCTGTCCAGACACTTTTAATTTGTACTCAACCTTTTTAGGGTGAATGATTTTGTTTTAGATTAGTCCTTATTTTAATTCTTGTTTAAAAGGAATTCAAAATTTAATTGCCTTTTATTTAACTTTTCAACTTTGATATTAATAAATTGTGAATTGATATCATGTAATAACTGAAATAATGTGCCTTACTAAATAATGTCTAGGCATTTGGTTAGCTTCTATGGAATAATATTGGGAGCAAGAGTTTCTCCCTATAAAGAAACTGGGTAGAACTTAGGATATCAGCTAAATGTTATTAAGTTAGAACCTTAATCTATAAATCTTAGAATGATATTCTTTGTTCAAAACTTTGATTTATTTTGTCAGATTTATTTTAATATTGCAAATAAAGAGAGCCGATCTTATCATTTAACATTTTTGTTGTCTACAAATATACAGAGTATACGAAAGTGTTCAAGTCAGTATTATACCAATTTTCAACCTAATTAAAAGTTCTTAAATTATCTAATCAAAAAAAAATTTAGCATAAATAGATTCAATAAATCCACTTAAAATATATTCATTTTTGAAAAAATAATTAATTTTATGTTACAGATATTAGCTTACTATTTGTAAAGGTGTTTGAATTTCTTAGATAAAGCATTAGTTTGGCTCATTTTTGCTGTTTTTTGTAATTTTTCATTTAACAAATTAGAACAACTTAAAACTATTATGCTTACTACTCTTAAGTATAGACAACCAATACAGTGTGTAGAAAATTGTGTTGTAGCTATATGACTAAATTTGAATGGATCTCTAACCTAACTGTTAAAGTACTTTTCATTTCAAGCAAACTTCTAAGTCTTGTCAGACTCTACTCTAATTTCAATCTGTGATGCTTGCTTAGCAATTGTTATAGAATGAAAAAATGACCTGAGAGTTGCTATATAAAAAGCAACAAAACTAAGATGAAAGAAGTGAGTAAAAAAATTAATTGATACAGCTGTTTACTTATTTTTCTGTTTCTTTTTCATTATTTTTTTTCTCAAATAAGCAATATTTAAGGCAAAATTAAATCCATTGATATATTTTGAACTCTTGCTGAACCCCAAATCTTTTAAGGTTGATCAATTTTAGTTATAAAAAAGTGTTTTACATAAGTTGGTAAAGCAGTGAGACTGTTCCCTTATTTCAAAATTCTCTTAATCAGTATTCAATTGTCATCATCAGGATTTAATGATCGGTTTGGATCATTTTCTCTGCATCAATGAATAGATTTTTTAATTCATTCTTTTTATTTCTTTTCTTTTTAACATTTAACAGGTGAACAACAGAGACCATCAGTCAAGACTTGCAAGTACCAGTGATGTCACAGTTAGTCTTAAGAGAACTGTAAGTTCACACATATTTACATACTTAAGCTTTTCTTACTCAGGATTAGTATGTATTTGGTATTATCATTCATTTTCAGTAATTTTCACAAATGATCTAAAATATAATTGTGTATATGAAATTATCAATAGATTGTAGTTAAACTTAATATGTAGAAAAAAATTAAAATAAATGTAAAAATGCCAAAATTTGGCCAATCTGATTTTTTGCATCTGAGAGTTATACAAGTTTTAGGAAAAATCAGCAAAATAAGAAATTCAGCAACTTTTTGTAACTTTTGATATCTGAGCACTTTTTGTGTAAGTACCTGCAATGAAGTTTCTGCAGCGATCATGTTTTCTTGCATTGTCGTGTTTAAACTGGTTTGAAGAGTGCCATATACAAAAAGGACTGACTTCAGCTAATTGTGTCATATATTTTACCTGAACTCGCTATATCTAAAGTATATAAAATCAGCACATGTAACAAGGTTTACTGATGAAGATTTGAAAACAATTCTTTTGGTTGAATGCAGCAATTCCAAAGCAAATATTGATTATATTTTAAAAGGTTCCACAAATTTCACTAAATGTTTTTGCTGTTAAGTTTGTGAGATTTGGATATGTGTGCACTGGGTGTGATATCACTATTTTATTGCCTTCTTTGATAACTTTTGGTAAATAAATGTTTGTCTTTATTTTTTGTGTATTGTATTAAACAAAATGGTTATCTGGCCTGTACTCGTTATTCTCTCAGTTATCTGGCCATCTGTACATAAAAGTTTGGTGAACCCTGGTTTAAAGGAATATTTCAGCCAATAAAAAATGTTTTGTTTAGATATCTTTAATGGTGATTTTTCTTTTTCTTTTTTTCTTTTTTTTTTTTTTCTTCAATTTATATATGCAGCTAAACAAGGAGAAAGTAATTTATGCTTAGAATATTTCATAAAGATAATGATGTGCTTGTGAAAAATAAATTTTACTTAGAATTGCTGAAAAGAAACAGTAACAATTATACTAAAGGTCAGCAAGAATATTGAAGATGTTGAGAAGATTGGTGACTTTTATTGCAAAATGTGACATTCCTAGTAAAGCAGCATATTTACTGTAATGATGTGATAAGTTATGGGTATTGGGGTTATATAGTTCTATTTGAACATCTAAAAGGGTGTGGAGAAAACCTAGTTCAGCTTTCATGAAATCTAATGGTGTTGATGCACACTGGAAAAGTTTTACTTGTGAAAATACATGAGTTTCTGCTTATTTCAAATCTTTAAAAGGAAAAAATAAATTGAAGTTGGAATTTTTCATTATGTGAAATTTATTTTAAATATCTTAAATTAAACTGTTCAAATCAAGTGAAAGTATCTCTTTGAGGTATCATTCTTTGTTCTTGTGATGTAAACCATAACAATTATATATTTATTATTTTTCACAATAGGTGAATGTTTATCTTTCATGTTTATTTAATTAGGTTTAATTGTTAATTATTGTTTTCTGTGGCTTTTTTTAAGTTTGGTCTTTCACATTTTCTTGAAATAATTCAGTGTTTCTCTTTTTTTTTTCTGAAATCTTTTCCTATATTTAAAGAAAAAAATTATCTATAAATTCAAATATTACAGTAGCAAAAAACTTGCTGTGAGCTATTATAAGTGCATATAAAAATTCTTAGAAACTTTGTTTTATTTATTTATGAGAGCCAGAAGTTTCAACGTGAGGGACAATTTAATTTTCAGTTGAAAATGAAATTTCTTATTCTTAGCCTTAGCAATAGACCATCACTCCTTTTAATTGCAATAAATGATTTGGTGTATTTACAGATATACCAAAGAACTGAATTCTACCTATATGAAACCTTCAACAGTAATTTTATAATTGGATTGATTATATTTTCTGCATGAGTATTCTAGTTTTTAAATAAAGTATTTTTAACTTTGGTGTCACTTGAATGAAAAAAATTGTGCTTTTAAAATCATTTAAAAGTAAAAATATATATTTATTTTTTTAATTAAAACAATTGTGGCACAAGGCCAATGGGGAAAGGCTGGTCAACACTTTATATTCGAGACATAGCTAATCTGATTCATGATACATTCATTCACCACAAAAACTCATCCCTCATCATTCAATACTATATACACTGCAGATTCACAGGGAACCTAAAAAAAAATTCATGACATAAAATTTCACTATATGCAAATGGTTCAAATGTCTTTTTTTCCAATTTTTATATATATATATATAAAATATATATATGCTCATCAGAGAACTCAAAAAACAAAACTAAAGTATAACAAAACATTCAAACTAAACATAACCGATATTAGTAGGGCCCAACCGCCCCACAAAAATTATAAGAATGGGCACTGTAGACAGAATGAAGAAGCAGACTCATTAATGAAGAGAGAAGGATTTAAAAAAAAAAAATAAATGACAGAATGGAGGGAAAGAAAAACAAAGGTTGGCCCAGTCAAGATAAAAATGGGAACAAAAAAAAAAAACTGGAGGGATTGAGAATCTCGATATGGATCATAACAAAAGAGCCAGGAATAACATTTACTCACATTAACTAGGTAAACAAAGATTATCTAACTTAACTAAGGAAGGGTTCACAGGAAACCGACCCATTTCATCAAAAAGAAAATCAAAATTGGCCACATTTACTTGCAGCAAACTTGCCACTTTTACCCACCTCTGTCAATAACAAACATTTTCTATCAGTTCTGATCTTCATCTTGAGCTGATGCCGAAAGAATTTGGCCAGAACCTGACGAGAAAAGTGTTCATATTGCAAGATTCCCTCCATTCATAAGATCCATATCACCATTCTTCTATCTCTTCTATTAATAAACAAATAATCCATTGTTGTAGTGTGATTGTTTATTGGTGTTTAGTAATACTTCCTGTTACCATAACATTGGAATCATTGCAAAGAAAGAGGATGTAAGAACCTCTATAAATATATAAAGTAACATGGTGTTATAAATATGTATAGTGACATTGTGTTTTATTATAAAATAAATTAAAAGAAATCTCACATTTAAATCAAGTTTCCTCAAAAAGCTATTTAGTTTTGGATATTGGAGCACTATAATTATATAAAAAAATTCCATTTTTTTTCATGTATCCATTGTTTGTGTTTTATACTTGTTGCAACTTAAACATGAAATTAATGATATATTGGTTCAAATGTATTTTACAAAATAAAGCTGTTTGGCCTCAATGATATAAACAAAGGTTTAAAGTTTGTTATTGTTTTTCTTTTCCTGTCTTACACAGCTGACTAATGATTATATTCCTTCTGATTCTGGAGGACGGTTACTAGGCAACAGTTCAAATAATCCTCTTGGAATGAGTGGGATGCACGGTTCTTATACAGTGCATAATGACAAACTACAAATTATGAAAAATGTTTCTAGTAAGGTAAGATACTTTTGTGATATATACTGCTCCCTAAAAGCAAACCCAAAGCCTACATAGACATATGCTTAATCTTTATAATTTGTTTAGGGTATTAGTTATTAAACTTTATAAATTATATCAAGAATTTTGATTAAATTTTTTTTTTCCAATTGTTTCTCATTGTCATACAATTTGGAATCTCAGAAGATTAAAAAAAACTCAAGTAACTTACAAGAATCAGTTTGTGTTCATTCTTTGAATTTTCTGTATAATTTCTGTATTGTTCCTTGAATAAAAACTTTGAGATAAGATTTAGACCATATATTGATTAAGAACAACACTTAATAGCTCATTCTGTTATTTTTTGTGTATTTATGTACACAAGTACGCACAAAATATATATCCTGATATAAAGTACATTATATAAGAATTTAAAATGAAATGTTTTTCATAATGTATTGTTGTGTGTGAATAAGTTTAAAAACAATAGCTATAAGTGAATGGCAAAATCACTGCCTTTTATTTTTTCTATTTCTAATTATTGCTTGGTTGTCTATTTTGGAAGATTTTCGATTTTTATTTTTTTCTTAATATAGATAATGATAAATTTTTCCCCACTTAATAAAACTTAATAAATGGGAGACTATAAGAAAAATATCTAATTGTCACTCAAATTTATAAATAAAATAAAAAATCTATTTAAAGTGAATAGTTCCTCTTCAGACAGTATTTTGGTTGACAAAACTGAAACGCATTTATATTGTTTCTCTTTACAGACAGATGATCGATCAAATATTGCTACCTATGAACCCTTAAGGGGCCCTGTTATACAACTTAAAAATGACCACTATCGTGAAAAGCCAGTCCTACCCAAATCTATGGATTATGATTATGATAATTCTCCAGAATACTCTCATGTGCCCTCTTCAGTTAGGCATTTGCCATCATCATCTTCACCTCCATCTTCATCCTCTTGGTTGTCCCACCCCAGTAGTCACCCCCACACCCCTACATCTGGGGCTCGAAAAGACAAATATGAGATGTCAAGCAGTACAAATAAACCTTTGTCACTTGATAGGGGCAATGCTCTTAAACTTCCACGTCCATCTAGGGATCTAATTGTAGGAATGGCACCATCTGCTGCCAAGCGTATTAAACCAGCTGGAAATGTGGATTCTCATAGCCAAGTAAGTTATCTTTACATTCTTTGATATTTTTTTTTTTTTTTTTTTCGACAAAAGTTCAGAAAATTACTGCATGGTAACTTGAATTAAGACAAATTAGGAATATTAGAGAATATGTTTTTTAGAGTATTTTTTTTTTTTTCATTGTAAAAATGAAACTCGATATTTTAAATGTTGATCTACTACAAAATAATTGGATTATTTTGTTTGTAACTATTTTAATGTTTTATGATTTTACTTTGTCATGAAAATATCAGGTCGTCCCATAAATGTTTGAATTTAGTCATAAAAATTTCATGTTTATTTAGAATTTATTAACATGGGTTTTATCATTGTCAATAACAACCTTCTAATGATTGACAAGCTTCATAATGCAGTTTTTATAAAAGTTTTTATTTGGAGTAAAAGAGAGTAGAGAGTGTAGTTTCATCAAGATGGTTCTGTAAACTCTAGTAGAAGTGGTAATTAGATGAAGCCAAATTTGGAGAATAGGCAAGGTGTAGAATTTTTTCTCCACCTGAAATCTTTTGTGATCTATGCTTGTATTATGGGCCATACATTATAAGGATAGAATTCCACACCTTTACGATTCATCAAATTGGTAATTTTTTTCCAGTCAATTTTCAATACTCAAATTACTGATGCCTGCTGTAATCTTAACAGTGACTGATAGAAACTGAAAGTGGACCACAACAATGCAATTCCATGAAAAACACTTAAAAGAACTTTCTGTGGATGGTGGTCCAATTTAGTCTGTGCTTTAGCCTATCTGCCCCCATTTTTATACATTGCTTTATATTCTTGTAGAATATCTATGTTTTCATTATCAGTCCTTATTTAAAAATTGTGTAATGCATCTGTGAAACTGTAGAGAAATGTAGATGTACACTTTCATTTAAGACTTGGTTTTTATCAAATAATGGGCAAACCATATTCTAAAATTGGGAAACTTTTCAAGTTGTTGCAAGTAATGGTGAATCATTGAATGATCAAAATTCATTTTTTGAGCATTATCGAGTTCAGATATAAATATGCCATTCTTAAATTCAACCTTTCTAAACCATCAATTTCTTTTCATTAAAGAATCTTATCCTATATTGTGGGTTGCCTTTGCAGCATTATTGTATTTTCTAAACTCCTAGAACATCACATCTTATGCTCTGTAGACAAGTCCCATATTTTGGAAGGTCACTAATTTAAATGAAACAGATTTTCAAATTATAGAATATAACAAATTACCACACAAACCAAAAATCATACTAATATAAGTAAATATTGTAAATATAACTATCAGCAGCATGCTTTTGTCTCTTGCACTTTGGCCTACAGCCAGTGCTGTTGAAGTCAACTCATTATTAGAATTAAATTATTTCTTTGGCTCAAATTCTTAATTAGTTAAAAATGTCCGTCAGTTCCTATCTCCTGTTATGTTATACTATTGTTTATTAGTGGAAAAAAATCATGTCATGAATCCCTAATTTCAAAGCACAATTCTAATTCAACAGTGCATATGCCATACAAATGTACATTTAACCGGTTAGTCTAAGAAGTTCATTTTATTTCATTCCAATGAATTGTATGGAAATCTCCAATGTTATAAGTTAGTTTTAAAAAATGTCTTTCAGCAGTATTAATCCCATTTATCAATTTTCACTTTTTGCCTTTTCTTTTCATTCAAGCTGACCAACATTTTTTTCATATCTCATCTTTGTTTCTTTCAGTTCCCTTCTTCAGATGTATTATCCAATTCTTCCTCTGTATCAGGTTATCGGGTATTGGTGACTAATCTTCATCCCATTGTTACACAAGATGATATAATTGTAAGTGCATTTGTGTTTGTTCCCTCCCTCACCCCCCTCACTCTTTTTGTCTTCTAACATGTATTGTCCCCACTGTATATTTATATAAAAAAAAACGTTGGGTATATTTAAAAGAAAACCACTTGAAGATCAGTTATTTCTTTTTAATTTTTTTTCTTAAACATTTTTTTATAGAAATATGACTTTATTGTCTCTCAATTTGATATCCCCCAAATTACTGTATCCAAACACATATTACTTTGCATGGATATAATGTAAAAATATGAACCAAATACTTTCTATCTAACTTACTTCCCTTGTCCCTCAGCTTTGGTATTGTGTTGTTACCGTTTCTTTCTTTTTCTTGTTTCTTTCAGAATCTTTTTTTTTTTTTTTTTCCACAACACTTTTTAGTTTATTGGTACATAAAAATGTCAATGGTTAGTCAATAACCTTAAATTGAATAGATATCAATATTCCTAATCTCTATTCGGATGGTATGTCCCATCTTAAGGCAACCTCAGATTGTTTTATGTGATGATATCTTACCAAGATTATTTTAAAGAAGCATTGTTTTAGTGATACTTGCCTTCTAAGTGTGTGTGTGTGTGTGACTTGCTAATAGCAATATCTTAATACAGTGAAGAAAATATTAAATAATAATTTTAATAAAATGTTCAGATGTTACCTTTTTGCTTTCTTTATACAGGAATTGTTTGGTGCAGTTGGAGCTTTGAAAAAAGCCCATTTATTGAAACCTGGTTGTGCAGAAGTTGTCTACATATCATATAATGATGCTGTGGCTGCTGTCAACAAGTATCATAACAGAGAACTTGATGGTAGGCTAACACTTAGTCTATGTATTCTATGCACACACATTTCTCATGGATTATTAATTTTTGAGAAAACTATCTTTTATTTTTGTTGCTTTTTATTGAAACTCTTAGATTGCAATTCTGGTTAGATTTGAATTAATGTTCTTTATTTTTGGAGGCTTGTCATAACCATGACACAGCCATTAACCAATTTTGCCACAATGGCTTTATCAGGAGGTGTTGCTCAAATAAATCATATTCCTTTTCTAGTCACAGTTATGTCACCATGTTATTTGTTTATTTACACTAGTAGTATTAGACAAAATAGTTTAGATTTCTTGGAGCATTTTTTTTTTTTTTTTATTGCAACCTATTCTATGACCACTTATTCTATTTTTAATAATTTGTTATCCATTACCAACATCTTCATTTATAATTAAATCTTTTTTAAATTGTCCATTTACTTAGTTATCTGATTTTCTTATGCTATTTCTTTTTAAATATCAGTTTCTACATTTCCCAAATCAGAAAGCAATGCCTTCTGATACTTGATTATTTGCAGAAATATCCACTAGTTTTTTTTTCCTTATCCTAGTACTTTCGATCTTCTCCAAGATCATTCTCAGGAGTGAATTACAAAGTTATTGTAACTATAATCATTGTGATGGTGATTTTTAAAAACATGCATGAACTCGCTGTTATAATTATTTTAAAGTTCCATTGCTACAACGGATAAACTTAAATTTTAAAATAATTATAACTCATGCATGTTTATAATTATAGTTCACATGTTTTTAAAAATCATCACCACAACTATCACAGTTACAATAAGTTTGTCTTTGTAATTTACCCACTGAGGAGGATCTTGGAGGAGATTGAAATTACAGGAATCTCTTGATTAATATGTATTCGATTAATGCATTTTCAAATAGTGTGCTAAAATTTTTATATACCAAAATTTGATTAGTGCATGCCTAATACATTCTTCAATTTAACCATAGTAATTGAAAATTGATTTTTTATAGTTACTGATTAAAAATTTTCTAAAATTTGAAAATGGGTAACTATTTTGTTTGTCAAGTATTACATTGTCTAAGTAATTACAGTAGTGTTAAAAAAAAATGGATGGTTATAAAAAGATAAATTTGATAATATAAGCAAATAATAAAATATATATATTTGAATATTTGTTTCTATTATCATTTTTTGAATTATTTTTTTTTAATTATTTTTTCATGTTTATTTTGAAAGTCTTAAAAGGAAATTTCTAATTTTTGGTTAAAAACAAAAATGGATGATTTACATATAGAAATTTACATTTATAAAAATATTGAAATATAAAAGATATATGCATTTACTATGAAATAGTATAATAATCATAAATGAAATTTTCAGGTTAAAATACTAATGATTATGATATGTTTGTAAAATTTGAAGGGGCAATTTCTCAGTACTACCAGTTAAATGAAAAACAGAAAAATATGCGGCAAACCACTCTAAATAAGTTCTTTGTAAAAAAATCAGATTAATAAATATTTAATTCATAGCATTTTTATTGTATCTTATATGTACCTATATTTTAGTTAATATGAAAATTAGAAATTAATTGTGAATGAGACTAAAATTTGAGGTACTAATTACATCATTTCTTATAAGTTATATTCAATTACTGTGTTTTCAATTAGTGCATATCTTTTTATGTACACATTAGCCACACTAATCAAGGGATTCTTGTACTTGGGTAAGAAAAAAATTATGCCACTTGATGAATTTCATCTTAATATCGAGAAACTGATTAGAGAACTAGAAAGGATTATTATAAAAATAGATATAATATATCTCTATTACTCAATAAAACCTGTTTGAATGAAATATGCTGCCTATAATATATATATATATATATATATATATATATATATAACATTATATAAAGCTTTATTTTATTTTATTGAAACTCTTAATACACTTAATAACAGTATCAAATCAATTACATATTTATTTCAGTGACAAATTTTATTAATACAATCTGTTAGTGAAGATTCTACTTTTTACTAAGTTGCATGTTCAGGCATGCAAGAATTCATGAGGTAGGTACTTAGTATTGTGTTGATTTTACAAGAGGTTGGAAGACATCTGTAGCTGTCTACAATTCCCTGATAATTGTAGGTGTAGTATCTTGCATGCAAATAGACTTCTCCACTCTGTCCCATAAATGGTAAACCAATTCTGGGCAACTTGGGCATTATTCTGCTGAAATAACCCATTGTTAGAGTACCTAGAACCAATGAATGGGTTCAAATGGTCATGAAGCAGTGTAACATAGTTGTCACTGGTTAATGATGTGTTTCCATGGACCCAACTCATGTGAGATCCTTCACACAGTATTATGGGACCACCAGTAGCTTATACAGTGCTTGGTTGAAAACTAAGCTAGACCCAGAAACTACCACTAGGCTGAAACAACTGGAACCAATTCTCATCAGATAGCACCCCATGTTGCTAGTCTTCTGGAGTCTGTTTAAAGACTAGGTGATGGGCTTTTATCTAGTGATATAGTGTCGACTGGTGGCTTATCAATGTGAATGTGATTTGAATATGGATTTGGATGTTTTGGATTTTTATTTAGTGCCGTTTGTCTGTTACTGTAGACACTTCTAGTGAGATGCTTCTGGTCATAATCATTAAGGGACTATGTTTGGCCACTTTACTGCCTGCCCATGGTTTCATCAGGTTTTCCAGGTACACATGACAAAGTAGATGTCAAATGTCCCCACAATTTCCCAGACTTCTGTTTCCCTCTATAATACCCAGTTCAAAATGTGATAATTAACTCACCTTACTATGAGAAACATAGCTGGTGTTCATATTCGCTTACTAGTTGTTCAAGCACAGCTGATATAGGTCTAGGCATTTCTATGGCATTAAAGTGTGATGGTGCCCCCTACCATTATCTTACATACTGTTATCTCCTGTCGGTGTATATACAGGGTGAGATGGATAAATTGTTATCTAAATTATGGAAATATGAAAATAACAATGACATCTCAATTTAATAGATATATTTACCAAAATTACGCAAAAATATTTTGAAATATTAAAGAGTAAATTTATTTAATAAAATCATCATTGAATTTAACCACAGCGTCCAGACAACTTTGGAATCTGCAACTCATCTGGACGATCTCCTGTTTAAGTTGGTGAATACTGTCATAATCCTTACCTTTAGTTTGTCTTTGATATTACAAGGAGTTTTGTTTGTCTTTCGCTCAACTGTACCTCACACATAATAATCAAGGGGGGTTGCAGTCTGGGGGTTATGTGGCCAGATGTAAGAGATGATGTGGTCGCAGAAATTGTCTTACAACCATGACTGTGTTCTCCTGCTTGTGTGGCATGGTGCAGACATAGTCTTCCAGCAACCACCCTTTTGATCCAGGGTGGTACTATCTCCTCAAAGCACTCTGTGTTTACTGGATATTTGGTTTTCATCACTCTCTGGACATCTTTAGGGTTGTTCTGTGTGTTCATCTTATCCTGGCAGAGATTTTTTTCATCTGATAAAAACCAAAGCATATTCAGTTGGAGGGGATGCTTTAGTTTGTTCAAAAGCTTCATAGCACATTTCTTCTTGTCCTTCATGGCTTGGGATAAAAATTGACCCTTTCTCATCTTGTATGAGAAATACTGAATGCCTTCAGGTACTACCTGCCTGATAAGTATGTATTTAATATTCTGCATCTTTTTTGCTCTGTTTACATTTGCAACACTGGATTTTTCAAATATTTTCCTACTGCTCATTTCACATTTCTTTATTACCCTTTTGATTTTTCTCAACTTTTTTTTTTTTTTTTTTTTTTACATTTTTAAACCATATTTCTTTTCAGTGTTTTCAATTAAAAAAAAAAGAAAAAAAATGGTCTTATTTTTTGTCCCTCATTTTGAATACTCGAGATTTACTCAGATTTTATAATATTCACCGTCAGGATGTATTGGGTCAACCAAAAAAATTTTAGTTTATTAAATTTTCTACTTAATAAGTGAATGAACTTTTAGACCAACTGATGTACACTTATTATTTTTTTGTTTTTCCATTTTTAATTTTTTAAAGATATTTTCCTTTACATCATAAACTTTAGAAAAAGTCATAAAAAAATAATATATTAAAGTCATAAAAAAATAATATATTAAAGTAAATTGCTTTTGTTTTTATTTGCTTCAATATACATGTCTTTGATTGTGACTAAAAATAATTGTCCATTTCGAGAAAGATTTTAAAAATGGCTTTTATTTGTTTAGGCCAACCCATGATTGTGAAACAAACAACAACGATGACTATAGTATCGTCATCACTTCATTCTTCATCAAGTTCTTCAAATATTCCTAAATCCCTTGGGGAGCCTCTCAAGTAAGTACTTAAATTTTTACTCGTAGACCTGCCTGCTGTTGTTGTTTGTTTTTTTTTTTTTAATTTTCTTTTAATAGATATAACTTTTTGAAATAAAAATATTTTAATTAATGATCTGTAATTTACCAATTTATGTGTCAGTGTGAATCTGACTACATAAGTAGAAACGCTCAAATTCTAGAGAAGAGAATTACTCAGCATGTCCCAGTGTGTATTAGAAAAGCTTGACCCGATAATTTGCATAAATGTTTTTTTCACATCTGCATCTGCAAACCCTCTGGAACACCTTATTAAAAAATTGGGAGTGTGCATTATCCTTTCATGAGGACATGTTCTCAATTTTGAGTGAATCCCGTTCCAACTATCACTTGAAAGTTCTCAAACAATTTCTATTAAATCAACCAACCTTATGCAAACAAAAGGACTGGTTATTAGGACTTAGTGTGATTTATTTATAGATAGACCCTTGTTAATATATCATTGATATGTGGACATTTTCTTCATGTTTTCTTTTATTAGTCAATGTGAGTGATTATTTTAATTTCCTCAGTCAAGTTCTGATAAGTGAGGGAGTAATAAACCAGTTAGCTCATTCTCCTTTTTTTCCTTTTTGTATTGGCAACTACAGAAGTTGAAGTTTTTCTCCTCCCTTCTTAATTGTCTGTTTTTATTACATTCATTTTTGTAACTTTAATAAGAGCTTCTATTTAACTATGTTAGAATAAAAGTGTTAAGGCTTATGTTTGTTTTTACAATTTTGAGATGCTTCCAAAGAAGCATTCTAAAATTATTCATGATTAGAGGTAAGTGTTTCCCAAAGTATTAAAGAGAAAACAATGTAGTTAATGTTTTTCACAGATTATGATACTTATTTAGAAATCCGGTTGTATATTTTTAAGTCTTTCACTTGCTATTTTCATTTTTGTATGCCTGCAACTAGTCTAAAAATAATTTATGCACACTTGGAAAGTATTTTAAAAATATTAAAAACATATCTCCCTCTTACAATTTTTTTTTCTTACAATATAAGTGGTGATGTGATCCTGTATGCAACAAGTAAACTTCATTGATGTTTAATACCTGTCAAATATTTGCTTTCTCTACTTTTTGTCAACCCTTTATAAATCTAAACTTTTATTCCATCTGTCTTTCAAAACATTTTGAATTTCAAGATAAACTGTTCTCTTTGTTAAAACAAATTTGATTTTATGTGAAGATTTTAACTTCTACAAAGTTGGAATATTACAAAAAGCATTTATAACTTAGTTCTGTGATTTTTTTTTTTTTTTTTTTTTTATGGTGTGAATACAAAATAACAATATATTGTTTGCTGCTATAAAAGCTGTAAATGTCAATTTGAATAAAACTTACTACAGTTGATATTTCTGTTCAAAAGAGGCTGAACTATCCATTGCATTGGATCAAAGATGGTCATAATGATAAATATTACCTTAGTTCTTAAAAAGTCATTCCATATAACCTCTTAAACAAAAGTGAAAAATGAAATGTATAACTGAGAAATGTTTATTTTATAATCTATGTTGTCAATTAAAAATGTTATTATTCAAGATTTATTTTCACTGTCAATGGATCTAGACAAACATTTTGTTTACATTAGTTTGTCTAAAAGAAAAACAATAGATTCCATTAGTTCCAGTTAAGTCTCAAATTAAAAAAATATCATGGAAGTAGAAGATAAAATTTGCAAAAAAAAAAAACTGTTCAAACTTCTTTTTCAAACCACACAAACATTTTTCTATTTTGGACATTAATTAGAGTGTTACTTTGAACAGTTACAAATGGTAATTGCTATTGTGAAATCCACATAGAAAAGAGGTAAACAACATCATCATCATCCATAAGGAAAATTATTTTTTATTTTTTATGAAAATTCCAAGTAAGATTGTACAACATATTTTTTACATATTTATCAACACAGACAAAAATATTGATTTGCTTTGCGTGACCTTTTTTCCCTTTTTACACTACTAATCAATTTTTTTTTTACTTTTAATTCTTGCATCTTTGTATTGTGATATTATATTCTTGTATTTTGCACGTTAAAAAAAAAAAATTAACTTTAAAATTAATATTGCAGAGTAAATTAAGCATTTTCTTTTACATTTTTCTTTATATTTTCTTTTGATAATGCCTTCATTTATTTTAAACTTACTTTTCAAATTTTGGAATATTTAATGCTGAATTTAACTCTTAAATTTATTTTTAGATTCAGGAAAGATGTGTCTAACAGCTCAACAGGATCCAAAGCTGATGGTTCTTCATCTCGAGGAGGAACTGTTTCTCAAGCATCCTCTTCTTCCACCTCTTCATCTGTTGTGGATGTGAATCTAATTCACAAAGCATTATTTAGCCACAAAAACACAGGAAGCACATCTGCTTCCTCAGGAACAAGTAGTCGGCCAGTCACCTTCACTGTGAAAATATGACATTAAAAGCCAAAAACATTCTATTTCAGAGCTTCTTCAAATAAATAATTTTCAAATCTTGTTCAAATATTCTTTTCTTTTTTTTTTTTCTCATTTAAATATTACTTCTTTGATGAAGTCTTCAGAAAATGTTTGAAATAATTCTTCTATTACAAAGCAATGTAGTTATTGTATAAGTTATCTAAATTATAATATATATATAATTTTTTTTTTTTTTTTTTACATTGGCTATTGTTTGTGAGTTAGATCCTCAGTGGGTGCACTGCTATTAGGGTCTTTTGCCAAATTAATCTAAGCTAACATTTAAAAACAAGAATACAAAGCATTAAAGTGAAAGGTAGAAGTCTAATCATGACAAATTATGTAATATTCTCCTGACCACCACAAAGCAGTCATTGTGTTAATGTCTTTATCTTTTTGCAATGGGCATTCATGAACTTAATTTCTGAATATTTTCACACTCTTCATGAGTAAAAAATGAAACCCTTAAATTTCAAAATATATTTTCCAATTTGGCTTAATATACTTTTGTAATAGCAACTTTTAGATGGTTTTTCTGATTTTCAGCTAAAATTATTTATAGCAAAGCCATTTACTTCATTACTTTGAACAAGTAAATCAATTTTTTTAATTGTTTGAAAGAATATGCCTAATGTTGTTTGAAGATGATTAGAAAATATACCTATTCAAATATTAAGTGAAAGGTTTGGTCTATGAAATGCTCTCTAAAATGGTTTCTATTTCCCTTCTTTTCTGACAATGTTCAGTTTTATGATAGGCCAAAACAAGTAAACTCCATGTTTGTTTTTTGTTTGTTTGTTTTTTGTTTGTAACAGATCCATTTGTTGTATTTGAAACTGCATTACTTTTAAGTTAATGTAAGTTGCTTTCTTGCAATCCAAAGAAATTTAGAGAATGCTTCCAAATAATGTGAAGAATATAAGGTAGATTAATGAATTTTGAGAATTGTTCAAGTGTTATCAAAAGATTTTGAGGAAGAATACAAAAGTGGATGAGCAGCTATCGCTTTTCTAAATGAAGCAAATATGATAAACCATTAATTTGTATACATTATAAATATAGTGAGAATAAAGTTTTCCAATAATTAATAATTAGTTGATTTTTTGGGTAGGTTCTGAAAATCAAGGTGTTTGTTTTTTTTTTTTTTTTTTGATACCTGAAAGTTATTTTTGTTTATAGTTGAACAGCTTTTTTACACTCATTTTCATAAATATTTAAATTCTATAGGAAGTGTACAGTCTTTAAATCAAAATTTTCTCCAACTCCTGGCAAAAAAGATTTTTATGAAAATTTCATATAAGTTTACCCACCTACAGACATATTTCCTGCCAAAATCATTTGTTCAATACATAAATGACCATTGGATTCAAATCACTATCTTGAACCATTGAAACTGCTGGAATTAGTGGATCCCATATTAGTAAGGTTTGACTGAGACATTTTTCCGGTTTACTTGATCTAAATTTAAAAACCAAAGAGTAGATTGACTAAAAACACAATTAAATACATAAAATGAACAAAATATTTAGTATGTCTAAATAAAATACTCTTGACAATGTCTAAACAACTAAAGAACATTAAATAAACAATTTTATATGGAAAAAAACATTGAAAGACAACAAATGAAAACCCTATGTGTTTGTGAAAGCTTGTGTAGCTTCAAGGTTCATGAAAAAAGTTTTAAGTCTTATCAGTGAATACTTTGTTCTTAATAGATTAGCTAAAAATAAAGTATGAGAAGATGAAACTAATGATTAGTGTAATTTCTTAAAATTTAAGATTAAATACAGTGATCATTTGTGTGTTGGTCACCTCAAGTTAATGTATATTGCAATGTGTAAGGTAGGAGTTAAATCTTTAAAATGAGGGATTTGATCAAACTTCAACTAAAAATCTATTGGAACTTATTTTTGTTTTCTTGCTTAACAAAACTTATGCTAGTAGTATGCATAAATTCATGCGGTTCGGCATCAATGAGCTCTCCTCTTTCTCACTGCCATAATGTGGCCTCACTCATAAAAATGACAGTGAGGCCACATTATGGCAGTGAGAAAATCAAAATGCCAGGTCATGATCAATAACATTACAGACTCTGGATTTTGTTGAGAATCTTGACATATATAGTTGGATATTCAATGCATAGGTGAATGATAGATTTATAAATGTGCAAGATGGATTCCAGTAAGAAAAATTGTTTGGCATGACCGTGAACCAACTTTCTTACGGGTAGAACTTATAATTAATACCAGATTTTTTATAAACTTATAATTAATATCATTTTTTTTTTTTTTTTTTAAATTTTGTAATACTTGATTTTACAGAAAACATTAATGGATTAATTTATGACAATGGGTTGTAAATGATTTTATTTCAGACCTAGTTTTATGATAACCAACAGTAAAATCAAGATATGAAGACTTCAAATAACCACCCACTGTTGTAAGAAATAAATAAATGAAAACTTTCAAGTGCCACCCAGCCATAATTTTGATCAGGGCTGCATTCTAGAGTCATTTGTCAGAGGTGTGTGGAGTAGTGAGACTGACAGTTGTAGTCAATGGCTGAGGGCAGTTTGAGTTCTCGATGTTGAGAATATTTAGTCCATTGGTATAGTGTGAAAAAAGACTAGTAGCAGCAAAGATGCCCCAAATGTCACTTAATCCCAAGACCATGTTTTATTTTCTTGCCATGGTGATAATTCACCTATTTCTTTATTGAATGTTCAATGGGCCCTTTTCCAGTTTTTGTTTGTGTCAACATTAATGGGAATCAAAATACATCTTGGGATGAAGCTGTCTAGTTGGTGAAAAACTTGCTGAGGTCTATGGTTGTATTTTAACAAATTTATATGCTAGAACAAATTCTTAGAAAATGTTTGTAGTCAAATAATTTGTAAAAATAGGATGAAAAGAAACAATGAAAAATATGCTTGTGTTTAATCAAAATTGGATTAACAAAGATGGCATAATTATTAATTGATAATTCTTTCTTTCTATCTTATGCTGTTGCTTTTTATCCCAACTCTCAAGTCCTTTTCACATTCATTCTATAACTACTAAGGATTGTGAATTGAAAATATAAAAAAGACATTCTTTTTTTTTAACTCACTTCCCTCATCCTTGACAGTTTATTTTAACCATTAAATAATCAAACATATTGATATGGTGTTGTGTGATTGATTAAAGATCCCAATTACCTGTCAAATATAATACCAATTGTAATATAAGTTTATTGATGAAGTGATCATCTGGACATTATTTTGTACACAACAGGTTACAAGGTGTGGAAGATTTAGGAACAGAAACATTAATAATGAGTGAAGACAGTAGATAGTGATTGACATTGCATTTAAATTTTTGCAGATTAAAGTTGGTTGGAAAGTATGCAACCAGAAGGTAGTTCCAAAAGCAAGAAGTGTGAGAAAAAAAAACATTAGTGTAGAACTTATGGCTACATCTAGTGAGCTCAACTGTAAATTGATGAGATCTTGAGGATAGTCTAGTAATGTGCTTAAATTCAAAAGTCTATGTACCATAGCAACATGCTCATCTGAAACTTACCATGAAAGTATTTATAGAAAAGGCACAGAGTCAATCTTATAGCAGTGACTGAAGCCGAGCTATCAGATCAGGACCAGTAATATTGCTGATTCTTTGGATTTTATCAAAGAGTTCAAAGTAGATAGCAGGGGCACTGGACCATATGTGGCAGCAATATTCTAAGCATGGGTAGACTTGGATTCTGATCTATCTTACATATCTATAAGTCTACAGATTATAGAGAAAAATTATCTTGCACAACACAGTGAACCAAATTTCTTAGCAGTTAGCCTAGCAATGGATTAAATATAGTCTTTCCACTTCACATTAGTCCGAGAAGGTACAATGAGTCACTTCCCTGGAGGTTAGTTTCAGCCATGCTGATGGAAGGCAGAGAGAGGTTTCTCAGATGATCAATGGAGAGAAGTTTAGTTTGGAGGTGTTAAAATTAACAAACCATATTTTGCCCCAATTAACGAGACTTGAGGCCATTTTGGACATTGGCCACTATTTTGACCTTAATACAAATTTCTTTGTAGAGTTATTATGTTAGTCGAATTAACTAGGATTGAGGTTAATTCGTCAACCCAAATGTTGATAAAATAATCAGATTATTAGAATACCAATGACAACAAACAAATAATAATAAGCAAATATTTGATAAACACATTTTATAAAAAAATTTAGTTGAGGTTACATGCAAGAAAATGTGCTTTTTTCTTTGTAGTGAAGAATGTGTGCATTAGCTTCATGTAGAATGAAGCATTGCATAAATCAAAAATTCTTTCATTAAGCCACATGTGTTTGAAACACTGAGTAGCATGTGTTAGATTTCTAAAGACAGGATATGGTACCATTTTTATAGCCAACTGTCTTTCTAGTCAGGATCTTTCTGTACATGGGTGATTGCTGTCTGTGTGTAGGCAGTCTGCATGGGTGGTTGCTTGTTTCTATGAGCTGCTGCTGCTTGTGATGTTTTTAAAAAAATGGTATAAATTTTATTTTGTCAAATTACTATATTTTCTTAAAAGAAATGTAATAAAGTCATATAAAACAGAAAATAAATTAACACCATAAAATGTATTACTGGGTATATCTAGTTAGAACCTTTCCTTGAAAATTTGAAAATAACTTTTGAAACAGAAATTAGAAGAAATATGCAATGGCTAAACTAAAAATGGCTAAATAGTTTCTATTCTTTAATATTGTGAAAAATTAAATATTTCAGTGAAATATATGTATGACATTGAGATTTTAATGGATAATATGGTACAACTTTTCAAACAAAAATTACAGAGGGATGGTTGTACTATGGGGATGCATATTATACTGACAGATGTAATTTATTCCCTGTTTTTAAGTTCAGGAACATGGAGTTATATTGAGTGATTGATTCATTTTCTACAACTTATCCTCTTACAGGTTATTTAAAGTCAGAAA